TTCGAAGCAAGGATTGTACCATGCATCACAAGAGCCGACCTTCCAGCAATGTCTGAACAAGACAGAAATACAACAGCAATTGCTATGGGCAACAATAACGTGCTGTTTTTGCCCAAAAATCTAGGACCAGCTAACTACTTCTCTCTACGAGCCGTATCTCCCTATATTGTTAGAAGTACCAAGTTTGGTATTTGCTTTGGTCAAAGCAATGATGTAAACTGCTTTCCTGGGCCAACCGGAAGAATGAGTGTAAACTGGAATGGAAGCTCAGAAGAAACAGGTTTCAAAATTGTTTACGAAGGAAATAATACTCATAACGCAACCATGAACATTGATCTGGAACATTGAGTACTTAACATCAAAATCAAATGTTCAAACTAAGAAAACTTTTGCAACATTTACAATCAATAATGGATTTTGCTGATGTCATCAATCGTCTTCTTGTCACCATTATATAATACATCTCAGTGAGGTCATGTCAAATGAAATAATTAATTACAATTATTTGCCAACATTATTTTGGAAGTTATATTAAAATGTATTTTAATACCATAGACCGATTATAGTAGGATCAATGGTAAAACAAAAAATATACATGTTTTTAGTTAATTTTTTGCATATTGGTCAAAATATTACGAAAACCAACCCTTAATAGATAACAATTTTAAAATGCACATGTATTCCTTATATTCAATAATAATAACTTTATTACACTACTAAAAACCTTCAGAGGGTTTTTGTATGGTAAGGAACATAAATACAAAGAAATACAAAAAACATGCAATACAAAAGAGATAAAATAAAAGAAAAAATAAATTAATTACTTTCTGTGGTTTTTAAAAAAGTGTGCTCTTTAAAAGTATTCAGCTAAGGCTATATTATTCTCCATAATCTTTTTAAATATGGAATTCACATCCATTGTGTAAATATTTATTGCACACTCATCAAACAGTTGTTTTCTTTGTTCTATATAACCAGTACAAAATAGCAGGAAATGTTTTTCATCTTCTAATGCTTTAGTGTTACATTTTTTACAATGTATATTTTCTAATTCTATTTTGGGCTATTTTGTTCCCCTATTTTCAATTGATAATTCAAATATTAGTTCATTTGTATATAAAGTGAAATAAAGATAATCTGCCTGAACAAATCAATACTTATTAACATCAATTGGACTATTGAAATATTTGCTGGTTCCTAATGTCACCTATAAGTTATTGAGCCCCTGTTCACCAGTTGTTGTTGTAATGATAAACTACACTGCTGGTGTGACAATTATGAAATACAATTGCTGAAATAACATCGTAAATACAACAATGTCCAAAAAATATTGCTGTCATTTGTGTTGCACGTATCATGAATGTTTCATGTAGCCCTTCATTCAAGTATGTTTGTAGAATATGACTCTTTCTTCAAAGACCCCTCTAGATAGTGTGGAATAGTTGGCTGGCAATGTATATTTTTTTCTTCTGGGTGGCAAATGAACATCATAGACCTGATTATTTTCATACACTGGTTGCAGTACAGAGATTGAACTGGAAGCCTGGGATGAATATAGGGAACAACAGTTCATTTGGCCTCATGTTCTTAGCCCTGGAGAAGTGAGTAGTTCACAAGGTAACTGAAAAGTATATCAGAAAAAGATATAGCATGCAGCTTGCTCCATCTTCTGTCTGATGGCAAGGCTACTAAAATAAGTTTTCCTTGTCAAAGGATATATTGCATAATGTGGCTCTTTAGGAGTTTGCTGAAGCGATACCAGCACTAATTATGAAGAGTAAAATGGTGAACACAATCTCTGCAGTGTAGTAGCATGTGATCGAGTTAACCCATTAATGAGCCCTCTAATGGAGCCGTTCCCAGCGATGTTCTTTTTAAAACTGACAGACAACATAGTGATGGCAAATTTGATATCCCCTATTGAGGATAGTTTCTTGATATTTATATTTTCATTGCGCACTTGCAGAGAGTATGCAACAAGGTATTATCACATTTCATGCCAGACACGTGTAACAAACATCATGTGATGTGACCAAGAGATTGAATGATCATCTCGATTACAAATTAAAGAGCATCATAGGGTTCACATCAGGATTGGTGATTTGTGACTTTTCTTTGTTGAGACAGGTATTGACAGTGGTATTGCTGCAACAAAACTAATACTCTGTCCTTGATCTTTGACAGACACCTATAAGTCAAATTGAATGCATTGCAGAGTTCTGGTTTGTGTAGTAGCATGAGGCACCATAGCCTTCACAGATGACATAATGCCCATCGTCTTGCAGTGGTGAATGTCTATGTATTTAAAGGAGACGTGCAATGCCTGGTTCTGTTGCAATTTACTCCATGCCACAAATGACTTCATCTTGGATGCGTACTGAAAGAGCTGGATCTCCTTTGATAAGTGACGAAGAAGCCATCCATCTATGTTCAACTACAACCGACTTACACAACCTAGTAAACACCAGTGAAACAAAGAAAAGGCCGAACAAACTCTCTTGAAGTTTAAACTAACAGATACCAGAGGCATACGAGGATTGGTTGCCCCACAGACCGTGATCATGCTCTCACAAAGCAAGAAAGCTTCAATCTCAACTGCCTTTGCCGGGTCCCTTAGTGTATGGTGGTTAAGCATATGATAACTGAGTCTTATTTTTCCCTTGATTGTTGTTTTCACCATGGTGCTTATCCCTCGGCACTGTGTAGTAGTTACCAGCTCTGTACAGTCGTATCAGGAGCGCTATTGTAGATAGACATTCAACTAGTGCATGATCTTAACACTATACAGACTCAGACACAATTAAATTACTTTCTTAATTGTGAATTGCGCTAAATCAGCAAAATCTCAAAAAACATTTTGAAGACACTCTGCAATAACACACAGTCAGATATAGTTCACAAGTCTCATTACAATGCAGCTTTAGATACAATTCACATTAATGTATTATTAGTGAGGTTAATTTGTTGCAAGAACATGATGTCAGGCCTCATTTGCATCCGAAGGAATAATTATAGTAGTATCATAATATTAACAAGCCATGCATGGCACAGTCCT